TAGCAGTCATCACAGTGGTTCATCTGCTCCCGCCATACCGTTTAAGTTTACTAACTGACCACATTTGGAGTTTACTAATGCAACTCTTGCAAGCTTTGTGTGGTGCAAATGGTTTGTATTGGTCTCCAAGTTTGCAGCTAAAATAAGCAAAGTAGCAGCTCTTCAATAAAGGAGTAATGTTGCTCCGGGAATCTAAAGGAGTGAATTGCCCGCAGACATAGCAAAATATGTCTGGTGAACTTATGCAGCCTCTAAACATACTAATAATCTGAAAATAAAGAAAATGTATTAGATATAATATTTAAGTCAATATAAGGTAAGCATTTTAATTGGTAATGTACCACTTTCACATTTATGCCATACGAAAAGAGAAAAGTAACGTTTCCGTATAACCTGACAACCTGATGTGATAGAGATGAATCAAGAACACAATGAATCACTATTTTCCATATATATACCGAAAAAGTTACCATAGAGTCAATAAAAAATCATGCAGACCATTGTAATTATTCTAACTGTATTACTTGGTTTGTGTGTTTTTATTAAACCATACATACACGATAAAGATAGATTAGTGGACTTAATTTTTTTAATTAATTCATCTTTGCCTTTCAGTGGACTTCTCATAGTTTTATTGAAATTACTGTTAATAGATTCTAAGGGATTCTTTCTATCTTTAAAATAAGTTTCTGTATCATCTAAGAGATTATTCATTTTATCTTGGTAATCAGTTTCTTTCAAAATTACTATTGCATTTATTTTATCTGCTTTAGAAGATCCAAATTTTTATTACTAATAAGTGTCTCATAAGACTTAAAGAATCTTTGAGTTCGAAGATAATAACTTATTGCCTCTCCTAGATGTTTTAATCATTAAATGTAACAATCATTTTAAATTTAAAATTTACAGAAAACCAACAGATAACTGTTCCTTTGTACACTACTATTATACACATCAAGATAAAGTTTAACTGTCGGAATTCTCATCATTGCTTTTGAGAGCTTTACGTATTTGTAGTCCAGAATTTATAGATGAATAAATCTAAAATATTTATGAAATAACTGATCTAAAATACCCAAGAAACTTAATTGACAAATCCTTTAAAACTGCCAGAAATACCTTTTACAATTCAATAAGGGACAACCAACCTTATTCAACTAAAAATATGTTGGTTCTCCCTTACCATGAAAACTTAATTGATATGGCTTCCTTTCTTAAAACCTTTAATATCAAAGAAGTATTTAAAAATTTTGATACAATTAAAAAAAAACCTGTGATAAAATTATCCTCTGATAAAAACGCACCCATCAGCATTTTGCTGATGGGTGTGTCTATATATAAGATTCCTTGTAAAATATGCAATAAAGTTTATTACGGTCAAACTGGTAAAAGTCTTGAACTAAGATTCAAACAACATAAGTATAGCATTAGAACTGAATAAGATTCCAATGCTCTATTTATTCATGTGAGAGATTTTAACCATCCAATTGATTTTCAAAAGGTTGAGAAAGCTGTATCAAGCAAGTCCATGGTCGACAGGAATATAATAGAATCATGTTTCATAAAATGTAGTTTTGTAATGAATATAAATATTTCTTTTGGTTTATATAAATTGAATTCATTTATAATCAATAAAATTTGGGAAGAATTTAATGATACATTAAACAAGTAATTCTTGGGAAGAGTATCAGTTGTGTTTCAGAGAGCCGGGTGTTGTGACGCGACAGTATCATCAGCAAAAGGTAACTGTGTCAACTTCCATTTTGTATTAGATTCCCCATAATTTAATCCCACCCCTCTCCCCAACACCCTAGCATTTACTTATTTTACAACCCTATCTATAAATACAATAAACAACCATGATGGCATTACACATCCCTGTCTAAGACTTTTACAGGGAGTAGTCTCCCTATCTTCTACACATCCTATCTTGAGCCTCAATATCATAATAAAAACTCTTCACAGCATTTAGTAACTTACTACCTATTCCATATACTTGCAATATCTGCCGCATTGCTCCCCTATCCACTCTGTCATATGCCTTTTCTAAATCCATAAATGCAATGAAAACTTCCCTACCTTTATCTAAATGCTGTTCACAAATATGCTGCAATGTAAACACTTGATTTACACATCCCATACCCACTCTAAAGCCTCCTTGCTCATCCGCAATCCTACTCTCTGTCTTAACTCTAATTCTTTCAACAATAAACCTACCGTACAATTTTCCTGGTATGCTCAGTAAACTTATTCCCTTATATTTTTTACATTCACTTTTGTCCCCCTTCCCTTTATATAAAATAACTATACAAGCTTTCTGCAGATCCCTAGGTGCCTTCCCCTCTTTCATACATTTATTAAACAAAAATACCAACCCCTCCAACACTGCTTTTAACATTTCTGTCATGATCCCGTCAGTTTCAGCTGCTTTACCCCCTTTCATTTTATGTAATGCCTCACGTACCTCCCCCACACTCACATCCTGCTCTTCTTCACCCCTAACAGATTTTATACCTCCCTGACCAGTGCATGAAATTACCGCCTCCCTTTCTTCATCGTCATTTAAAAGTTCCTCAAAATATTCCCGCCATGTACCCAATACCTCCAGCTCTCCAACTACTAACTCCCCTACTCTGTTTTTAAGTGACAAATCCATTCGTTCCCTAGGCTTTCTTAACTTGTTTATCTCACTCCAATTTTTTTCTTATTTTCATCAAAATTTCTTGATAGTGCCTCTCCCACTCTATCACCTGCTCTCCTTTTGCACTCTCTCACCACTCTCTTCACCTTTCTTTTACTCTCCATATACTCTGCTCTTCTTATAGCACTTCTGCTTAGTAAAAACCTCTCATAAGCTACCTTTTTCTCTTTTATCACACCCTTTACTTCATTCCACCAATCACTCCTCTTTCTTCCTGCACCCACCCTCCTATAGCCACAAACTTCTGCCCCACATTCTAATACTGCATTTTTAAATCTATTCCAACCCTCTTCAATTTCCCCACTACTCATACCTGCACTAGCCCACCTTTCTGCCAACAGTTGCTTATATGTCCTGTCTAAGGGCAATGTGTGGTGCTAATATTATGCAGAAAATTCAAGGTGTGGAAATTAGGAGGTGTGAAGTTAATAAAAGTATTAGTCAAAGGGCTGAAGAGGGGTTGTTGAGGTGGTGTGGTCATTTATAGAGAATGGATCAAAGCGAATGACTTGGAAAGCGTATAAATCTGTAGGGGAAGGAAGGAGGGGAAGGGGTCGTCCTCGAAAAGGTTGGAGGGAGGGAGTAAAGAAGGTTTTGTGGGCGAGGGGCTTGGACTTCCAGCAAGCGTGCGTGAGCGTGTTACATAGTGAATGGAGACGAATGGTTTTTGGGAATAATAGTGTACATAGGCCTATGTACACTATTATTCTTCACATCAAGATAGAGTTAAACCGTCTGTTTTCTCAGCAGTGTTTTTGAGAGCTTTGCGTATTTGTAGTCCAGAGTTCATAGATGAAGAAATATCCAAAATTTATGAAATAGCTAATGATCTGAAATACCCAAGAAACGTAATTGATGAATCTTTTAAAATTGCTAGAAATACTTTTTACAATCCAAAAAGGGACAACCAACCTTATTCAACTAAAAATATGTTGGTTCTCCCTTACCATGAAAACTTGGTTGATATGCCTTCTCTTCTTAAGACTGTTAATATCAAAGTTGTATTTACAAATCTTGATACAGTAAAAAAAAACTTTTGATAAAGAATTCCCCCCAAAATACTGACGGACGTGTCTGTAAGATTCCTTGTAAAATTTCCGATTAAGTTTATTATGGTCAAACTGGTAAAAGTCTCGAACCTCTCTAGTTGGGACAGCGGGCCTGCTGCAGTGTTCCTCCTTTCTTATGAGTCGGGTGTCGTCGTGCTTCAGGTGTTGCTTTGTTGTGGGATGTGATGGTGAGGTGTGATCCTGACCCTTTATATGCCTTCCTCTGATGTATTGTCTTTATAGTTCTTTGATAATGTGAGAAGTGACGAAAGTGCTTGGAATTTCACTATCCTTTCACAGTGCATATTTTGATATCACCTGTTTACCGTGATCCTATTGCATATATATATATATATATATATATAATATATATATATATATATATATATATATATATATATATATATATATATATATATATATATATATATTATATAATGTGTGAATATGTGTGTGTGTGTGTGTGTGTGTGTGTGTGTGTGTGTGTTTGTGTGTGTGTGTGTATGTGTGTGTGTGTGTGTGTGTGTGTGTGTGTGTGTGTGTGTGTGTGTGTGTGTGTGTGTATGTGTGTGTGTGTGTGTGTGTGTGTGTGTGTGTGTGTGTGTGTGTGTCATGCGATTTTGGATTAAATAGCAACCCTCTTCTTGCCGAATAAGGGAAACGAAAATTTGTGCACGCAATAATTTCTCAAAAATAATTCTGAGCCTTACGAAAAAATATATTTCTTGGTGTTTGTTTATTATTAAATTATTGTAAACTTATCTAAAATATTTTTAGTTGAATTAGGCTAAATTAAATTGCTCTTGTTATAATAAGGGTAGGTAAGTTTTATAAGGTTCTTTTAGCACAAAATTATTAATTTTTACATCAACATAAATGAAAAAATATATCTTTAAACGTATAAGAGAAAATTTTAGAAAGGGCTTGATTTTAATTGAGTTCTTGCTAATTGACCAATTTTACCTATTCGGCACGACATGTATATATATATATATATATATATATATATATATATATATATATATATATATATATATATATATATATATATGTGCCGAATAGCTAAAATTGGTCAGTTAGCAAGAACTCATCTGGAATGAGTCCTTGCTACTTGAACTCGCCCCAGCTCTGTGCTAGAGTGTCAAGGACACCCCAGCACAAAGCTGTGGTGTCCTTGACAGTTCTAATGCATACCAGTTAAGGTATTCCCGTGATGTGAGGATTTTTCTTTAAATTTTAATTAGATATGTAATTACAGGTTATTTACAGCTCAAAAATGGGGTGCTGTGTTAATGACTAACTGGTGGTTAATTTAAGTTACTATGTCTTTCTTCGATCAATGCTAAGTTTCAAAGCATGTTACTGATATCAATACCTGTCCTGTCACCAGCTACAATGGGAGGACTGGCAATGGGTTTTCTCCTCGGGTACTCTTCTCCAGCCGGGCCTCTCCTTTTGGATAACTCAACTGACGACCAACACAAGTCTTTACAGCTGAGCCATGAGGAGTACAGCTGGTTCTCATCGTCAGTTAACCTCGGCGCAGCAGCTGGAGGGGTGCTGGGCGGTGTGATGATCAGCACACTGGGTAGAAGATTCACCATGATGATCTCGGTCATACCTTACCTGGGCGGCTGGGCGCTCATTGGTAGGTGAAAACTTGAATTTTTATTTAAGCTTGTCACCATTCTGAATGTGCCTCACTGAGCTTCATCCCCCCCAAAAATCATTCTAATCATTAATAAAAAGAGTTAAACTAAAAGAGGCCTTTCACAAAGGCAGTAAAAAGCAGGACTACATCATACAACACTAATGATATCAGAAACCACACTTTTTGCATATTAATTGTTACTCAGGAAAAAACAAATGTGCAGCGTAATTCATAATGTAGGGTAAGGGGAAGAAAGACTCCAATGGAGTTTTTGGGAGACTGGAGCTTATATAGGCGTCAGTGAATATATATAGGCCATCAATTTACATATAAAATACACTGTATTTTTTGGAGAATATACAATATTTTCCACAAGTGTGTTCAAACATCAACATTTACTTGTTTTACAAAAGAAATCAAACCTCTTATACAGCCAAGCACTGATGGGGCGCCATCTATACAGATGCCAACACAGTTCTTTAAGGAGAGACCTCTTGTTTCCAGATATCTGGAGACAATGTTGAATATATTCATTTGCTGTCAAATCTTTCAAAAGCTACATCATTATATTTATTGGTAAGATCTGTTGACTCATCAACCTGGATGGAAAAACTTATTTTTCAGTTTATCACACGAAACCCAGTGGTGGGCACAGTTCCGCTAATCCGCTAACCACTAATTAGCAGAACTAACTTTTTGTTTAGAGGATTAACGTTTCCGCTAACTTTGGAAACCGTTAGCGGACCAATTAGCTTCCACTAAATAAAGTCCCGCTAACTTTGAGTCGCTAAAAAAAATTCATACGTTGTTGGTAGTTGGAAAGCAATGCCTTTTCAATGGCACGCGATTGGCTGACTACATGTAAACGTAACTTGTCAATTTTCGTGGGTATTGCAAGTTATGACAGTTTAGAAGTAAAGTACCTTTCCCAGTTAAGTAACTTTCATTGTAAAGACGGACATTTTTTGTGTCCGTTGTTGAACTAGTGCAGTGACATTTGTCAGTTGTTTGTTATTCATCACTAGCCTCATCAGAATTGTCTAGATGTTTCCTCTTCAAAAATCGTCACATTGAACGATCAAACATTTCCGTAAAATAAAATAAAAATAGTAAAAACTAATCATAAACATACTTAAATTTAAAAAATTCGTGTAACATCCCTAAATGATGTGTAAAAGTTTCTAAATAACTTGGGTGAACGCCAGGAAGCACAGACAGGACTGATGGAGACGATACAGTCTGTCCTGCACTCGAGTGAGTCACTTGCTGATACATGAATCCGTCACGTACAGCTCTTGTCCACTGACCATTAAAGGCTATTTCACACTGGTACCTTATAGATGTCGCTTAATATATTCCCTGTGATTATTATACCTTGAAACGATAAAACAGGTTGAAAACTTTATTATAACAACCAAGAATATGCCGTATACTTAAAAAAAAACATACCACGGGTGGGGATAGAACCCGCGATCAGTCTCAAAACTCCAGACCGTCGCGTTAGCCACTGGACCAGCTAGCCACAATAAGATTCGTCCAACTAGGTATATTTCTACACCATAGGAAGGTTAACATAGGCACCACTGCGACCACAAATGCAAGTTTTTACAGACGAATCTCCAGCTAGCGTGGCCGTGACGAACTCTAGCTCATATACCTAGTTGGACGAATCTTTTTGTGGCTAGCTGGTCTAGTGGCTAACGCGACGGTCTGGAGTTTTGAGAGACTGATCGCGGGTTCTATCCCCGCCCGTGGTATGGTTTATTTGCAATCGTGTCATTACGATTTCGTGAGTCATGTTAACGGCTTTGAGGGGACTTGAGCTAGAGTTCGTCACGGCCACGCTAGCTGGAGATTCGTCTTTAAAAATTTGCATTTGTGGTCACAGTGGTGCCTATGTTAATCTTCCTATGGTGTAGAATTATACCTAGTTGGACGAATCTTATTGTGGCTAGCTGGTCCAGTGACTAACGCGACTGTCTGGAATTTTGAGACTCTGACAGCGGGTTCTATTCCCGCCCGTGGTATGGTTTGTTTGCAATCGTGTCATTACGATTCCGTGAGTCATGCCGTATACTTATTGTAAAATTAAGAATATAAAATTAAATATAAAAATAACTCAAAAATGCAGTTACTTCTGACTAACCTATTTATCACTATTTCTCTGGGAGCCCCTAGCGACCTCTTAGGGAACCCTAGGGTGATCAGTTCCAGGGCAGAAAGGATTTAGAGTAGGTCACTCCTGCCTCTCACAACAACTGGATCACTATGATATGGTCATGGATGAACTTGAGGACAAACCAAATGCAGATGTTGCATACACTAACCTTGGCAAAAGTCTTCGACAAGTACCATCATGGTGTAATAGCACACAAAATGCATGATAAAAGAATAACAGGAAAAATGGGTAGATGGATCTATAACTTTCTAACAAATTAAACACAGAGTAGTAATAAACAGAACAAAGTCAGAGGCAGCTACAGTGAAAAGCTCTGTTCCACAGGGTACAGTACTTGCTCCCATCCTTTTCCTCATCCTCATATCTGATACAGACAAAAATGAAAGCCACAGCACTGTATCCTCCTTTGCTGATAATACCAGAATTTGCATGACAGTGTCATCCACTGAGGACACTGCAAATCTCCAAGCAAACATTAACCAAGTCTTTAATGCGCCTATTCAATTTCAATTACTCCACTATGTAAAACTCAAAGAAATAAAAACTGGATCGGAGTATAAAACAAATTCCCACCACGCAATAGAGCAAAACTCTAATGTGAAAGACCTGGGACCAGAGAATCTCATTTTCAAAGATGACAACAATGTCTCAACCACATCTTCTTGGAAAATGACAGGATGGGTAATGAGAACCTTCAAAACTAGAGGTACCAAATGAGTGATAATTCTCTTCAAATCTCTTGTTCTTTCTAGGCTTGAATATTGCTGTACTCTAACGACCCCTGTCAAGGCAGGCAAAACTGCAAACCTGGGGAATATACAGAGAACTTTCACTGCACCTAAATTACTGGGAACAATTGAAGTCCTTTGTATTCCTTGGAACGCAGGCGATAAAGATACACGTTAATATACACTTGGGAAATCTTAGAGGGATTAATCCCAATCTACACACAGAAATCACTCCCTACGAAAGCATAAGACTCGGCAAACGGTGCAACATCCCCCATTGAAAAACCTGGGCACCATGAGTACGCTAAGAAACAACAAAAAGTGTCAGGGCCACAAACACTTCAACTGCCTCTTTGGGTAAGATGAGAAAATAAGGTGTAAGGTGTACTCATCTTTGTTGATGACAGCTCGAGACCACCTGCAGCCTACCCCAGGGGTTTTATCTCTGAATTTGCTCTGTACAGACTCATCAGGGCTGTTTGGAAGATTAAATAACAAGGGTTAATACTCTCCTGGATGATGTATATCTTTGACTTATTGCAAGTATAGCACCTGGAAATCATGGGCAACCCTTACCTATGGTTCTGAGCTTGGCCCACCCCTCACGGCCTAGAAATAGTTAGTCCTAAACATTCAACATCGGTCCTAGGTACTGCAGTACTCAATAGGCTGATTTCAAATAAAATAATAACATGGCTGGCTCATTGCAAAGGGGGCCACTAACGATAACACGCCTAAATGAGGGGGGTATCATTGGTTTGAGATGGAAAGTGACGTTAGACATCCTCATTTTGTTGTCTGCTTTGCACATTGTCCATATGTTCGACTAGGAATCTACATCTGTGGATAATGTCCGCAGTAAAAGGAAAGTTCTCCCTATGCCGTTTGATACAGAAATGAGCCATACGGAAAATAGTTCTGCGATGCTTGATTCACTCGCTACTAGTCCGTAAATATTCACGGCAGGAAGGATGGCTATTTTTCCTGGAGACTGTTAGTGTATTACACGGGAAACATTCACAAGAAACCGGCCTCGAATGTTACTACGTTTCAATGCAATGTGGCCCTGGTGCCCTAGGAGAACCCGATCACATCTTCACTTGTCAAATTGAACTTGCAATCCAAGGCTCTGGAGCCACTCGTCATTTATGGGAGGTTTCTGCTGACATAAGATCTGCAGACGTTGGTGTCAGCTCTCGCAGTTCATCACAATCAAAATGTGCTGATTCCTTCAGTATGACAAGTGGGTTAATGTAAATAAAGCCTCTAGGTATATTATCAGTTCCCAGGCATATATTTTCGGATTTTTAATAGTCTGGAAAAGCTGAAGTTTCGTCAGCCACCTCTTTCAAAAAATTTTGCAGAGACTCCCATAGTAGGGTAAAATTCTGCTGTACACTTGTGTGTATTGGGTGTCAATCTTATCTACTCTGGATCTACAAATTCATTAGATTCTGCAGTCATAAACATTGTTGAGATTTGGAGGACGCCCTGGATTGCGCTAATAGAAGCTGCGTAGCAACACAGAAGACCTTCTTGATCTCTGCTAATGCAAAGAGTACTCACTCCTGTTCTACAGGGTGGAGAAAATATAGGGGGGGGGGGTTCGTTGCCCCCAGGGGACGTCACTGTCGCCAGGGGATGCCGATTTTCCCTGGGGGCTGGAGAAACTTTTCTCCACATTGGAGAGCCAGCGAGTGTTCACCGAAGGCGAACTCTTTGAAGCTCAAAATATTTTGTGTGTGTGTTCCAAATTAGTCAAATATTGTTGAAATATAAGAATGTCAGCACCAAGAAAAATCTGGGATTGCCCCACTTAAGCTGTATTAGTATTCCACATACTTAGAGGCATATTTACCTCGCCATTTCCTCGTTAGCTTCTATATATAAGGATTCTAAATCCTCGGCAACACAACAGAAGATTGTTCACATATCTTCCTATATGTTTCTATAAGTAGACTATATTTCTTTAAGTGTAAAAAATAGATGCTTCCAGTAGAAATGATAATGATACTTATCCAACGAGACAAGCTTGACATGATATGTAATCACAGAATATCGAGATTCCCCAATTTAATTGATTTCTAACT